GAAATGGGATGAAGTCATAAGGAACTGGGGTGTGGGCATGAGGAACTGGGATGAAGTCATGAGGAAATGGGATGAAGGCATAAGGAACTGGGATGAAGGCATAAGGAACTGGGATGGGGGCATGAGGAACTGGGGTGTGGGCATGAGTTGCGGAATTGGCAGGTATGTTATCTCCTTGGACTTTTTTTCTGTGTGGTTATTTTACAAGCTTGCTGAATTGAATCGTGCGCCTTCTTTGAAAGAACTACAGAAAGAGTCGGCCCTACACGCAACTTCTCTTGATCTGGACTAGATGTTTTTTCAAATGCATTTAATGTGGTTCTATGGGGAGAAATAAATGTAGGAAGTGCCAAAACTTTACTCTGCATCTCAACAGAACTCAAAATGCTACCGCACGTTGTAGCCATTTAAAATATATGTTTCATCAAAAATCCTTATTGCTTGGCTACAGTGTATCCGAAATATAGAGCATTTTCCCCTCTGACTACTAATATTCAGAACAAAGTAGTGACAGTAAAGCTCATCTTTTCATTACTCACTTGAATTTCTTGGCACATTTGGCCTCTCTTATGTAATCACATTCCAGAGCCAGCTCCCTGCTCATCACCTCGATTAGATGTTCAGGAAATAGACCTGCAGAGTTTCAAACATTGAGACAGGGTGAACATAACTGGGATGTAAAAATTAAGGATTTTGATTATCATTTGGCACGGAGGAGGATGTATCCCTTAATCATTCCCGGCTCTGTGGAAGCCGTGACTGATGGATATTTATCACCTCACCATTGATCAATAACGTTCTCCCTCCACTGTGAGAAAGGAAGGGACCAGGATAGTAGTGTTTGCTTACAGTGAAGCAGGCAGACAAGCCCCATGATATGCAATGTGAGCTGCCACTGCAGCGTACGTTATGAGCCCGTAAACAAAGACAGAATGAAATCCGTTGTGCGGTTGTCACCTTCAGGCAGCGCATTGCTCATAGTCAGCAGAGTCATCAGGTTGTTGACATCACTGTCAATACTCTTAGCCACTCCGGGGTACTGCAGAGGACAAACAGAGCAGGAGAAAACAGCATTACAAAACAAACACGCTTGCAGACCAGCGTGTTCTGACATGAAAAAACCCAAACGCTACCAAAAAGCACTCGGCAGTAGAAGTGCAATATGTCCTCATACAAAGTCTCTGTATAAGAACAACCAATGCTTTTTCATGCTGCAGAACTTTTGACCAATGAGCCCGTCAGAAGAGATTAGTGGGGAAATGAATTACAAACACTAGAGATTAAATGCAACATATTCCATGCTCTTAAAAAAAAACGTAGGACACATTAGGCCTTAAAATGCAAACACGAGAACCAGACCGCCTCATTGGGGGCTAGTGCAACCAGAATAAACAGTATCTCACCTGAATCTTCATCGCCACTTCCTTGCCGTTCTTCATCTTCGCCAGGTGGACCTGACCAATGGAAGCCGCCGCGAACGGACGCTCCTCAAACAGCTCCAGCTTGTCCCTCCAGTTGGGGCCCAGGTCGTTGTTGATGGACTTCTGCAGGTTGGAACACAACCGCACATGGAAGTAGTAAACACTGTGACGTGACCAGTTTGGTGCTAGCTAGCTAGCTAGGGGTGGGGGGGTGTGGGCAGTACTGGCAGCTCCACGTAGGAAGATGCTAAAGGTCTTAGTGCCAGGGGAACATTAGAGCAGGATCGTGACGATGAGAACTTACAGTCATCTGCTTGATAGGCATGAAGTCTGCACTCTGTCTCACACGCTCAAAGATCTTGGCCAGCTGGGGGTTGATGAAAGCGTCATCTGAAGGGGACGAGGACAAAGGCGAAAGATCACCCTGAGTTACAAAAGTCAAAGCAAAACACAGGCTGTTCATGTCAGTCAACCTGTTTACATACCCCAATACAGGACAGGAGTCGCAGTTCGAAATCACAGGTCGAAATCACGGTATCTTGTTCCGTTCGACTTCAACAATCACACATTCGTAAATGATCTTTCAGCACTTGGTGCCTCGGGACGTTTAGACAGAACAATATCACAGTTCACAAGTCCCTGCCAATATTCACAAAATGTCTGTGGTCGGCCAAGATGCTCGGCGAAGCAAACAGCTCCACATAGCTATAGCTCACACAGTGCCATAAAAGGTCCTTCTGATGTATAAAGCAAAGAGGATAACTGTGCATGTTGACGGGAACCAGGAGGTCATTCTGCTGGGCCTTATGGGACCACTTTACAACCACGTCAACATTCAAACAGGCAATAGAACCGAACAGAGGTCAGAGGTGATGGGGGGGTGGGGCCTGCTGAATCAGGCTGATGTGTTACCACGTTAGTGAGAACGCTCATCTAGTCTTTTAATCACAACCACCAGACCTGACAATAATTTACAACAACATACTTTAATTTGATAGATCTACTGGATTTAATAGTGGAGGAATCAACTAAAAGCATCATCATGGACGTTAATCATGACTTGAAGGAGATTCCAATCGAAGCTCATCTGTTAAGACTAGGCAGCAATTGAGTCAATCAACAACCCATCAATTCAAGGCTGTTTCCTACTTTTGTTTGACCTGAATGAAAGGAGCAACAAACACACTTCTAATCAATGTGCTCAATAGAAAACAATCATTACCACCTAATGATAGCCACAAACCGCCAGATAAGAAACTGAATACTCCGATACACTTAGCTGGTTGGGTAACTGGTTGGGGTACATATTTAGCAGTCCGCTTTAGAGCATCTTGGGCTGAAAGAATGATAAAAACACATTTTCTAGACTGACAAAAAAAGAAGAGAAATGATGCTACCAAATCTATGACAGAGTTTATGAATCAAGCTACATCTAAGACCATGCCAGTTTGGAAACCAGATTTAGTGCCATTTCTGATATGGTTGGTGTCTTATTTAAAGACCTGGCAATGCCTTAGTTGTTGCTGTCCTCACAAAGCCCAGGCTGTGGGTTTTTTCTCCCCACTGGGGACTAGTATGAAACAGCTCTGATGCGGAGGGCAATTCAGTAATTGTCCGGTTATATGCTAGGTGGCTACTATCTAAATAAAGGGTCCAGGGATAAGCCTCCTAAAGCTGTAAACTCCTGCTTGCCAAAGTTAGAAAGACAACTAATCTCTGACTCCGGCACTGAGCAATAAGACGTAATACAACTTAGATGAACCAATGCGCAACCAATTGACAGGGCGGTGTGAAGAGGTCAATGTGAGTCAGGTATTTAAATACAGAATAGCCACTCATATTCCCCAACACAGACAACAAGCACAGATATGGATAGACAGGCTAGAACAGAGGCCAGTGAAATGCCAATGTCAAGAGCAAAACTAAAGGGACCAAATAGGCCAACGGGAGAAGAAAGAAAATGAAATAAAAATAGACCGATTATTTATAAGTCGACTGATGACAAACTGAATTCCACCTCTAGTCTGTCATTGATCACATTCGGTCAGAGATCCAGGAACCTCTAAAAATAAAAGCGTTGCAACACTAACAGCACCCTGACCGGCTGAAACCCTGACCGGCTGAAACCCTGACCTGACCGGCTGTTTCAAAGGCCATATCGGAACAGCTCGGCACACGACCAGAAGGACCCTGAGACCCAAAGTAGGGTAGTAAAAACACCCGGTGCAACACACACTCACACGTGCACACACACTCACACTTCATAACTGATGCTTTCAGATTCCTTTTAACTTCTTGCTAATGCGTAGACTGATATTATGACTATTACAATAGTACCACTTTAACTTTTATTATATAAAAGGCTGAAATTAGAATCATAAACATTAGAACCCTGGTCTGGTTTAATCTTAACCATATGGGTACAGGGTTTAGTAACACGTCATGCCAAGGTTGATTGCCACAAGTCTGGGAGGGATTTCACAAAGCCATTTCCAAGCAAGTCAAAGTGGGTTGTTCCGCTGACTAAGAAATATCTCCAAATAGAGAAAACTAGCAATGTAATGTCCCACCAAATTCAGGCCAAAATCTGGCCAAAGGATGCTCATAGAACTGAAGGGTAATGTGTCATCAAGGACATCTCTTGGCTGTTAGGAGACTGCAGAAATCTGACCTACATAGGATTCTAAGACAGAAGATTCCTCTGCTTTGAATACATAATAATGTGACACAACTGATGGTCAGTAGACAACATCTGGGAGGTTCTCATATTCAGAGCTTTTGCGTAGAAGCCCAGTTTTCCGGGCAACACAATGCTGTGTTTGGCTGGAATTTAGGTAACCAGACGAATTCTAAGTGCTGTGTGTTGTCATGAATTGAGCAGAAGTGTGGTGAACTGGGAGAAGCATTACCAGCTGCCAGTGGGGGGGAGAGAGAGAAATACCATCTCCTTCACATACTCATCTACAGAGGCTAGCGATTAGGCTAACAGTACCAATCTAGTTGGGGGGGTCGGTATGGAGGTCATCAGTGACTGCCTTCCACTAGGGCTGGGGTAGGGGGGTGTGAAGGTGACTACCCTGACACTAGGGGTTTTGGGGGGTTGAAGGTCATCAGTGACTGCCCTGACACTAAGGGAGACTGTCATGACAACCCGCTATCCTGCAGCACAGCAGACAGCTGAGATTTAGAGTAACATGTAAAGACCCAGACAGAAGCACACACAACAAATAACCACGGGCCACAGAACAGAATGGCTGGAGTGACCAGAATAGTAATACTAATAGTAAACACATTGAGACAATGCTGCTGGTGGTGTTCACAGAACATTAGCATAAAGTTAGCTGGATCTCACCTTGAATGCTGAGCATCTGGCCTAGTTTGAGTGCAGCTCCACGGACCTTACAGAGTGTCCTGACGATCCTCTCTGCGTTAGCCTCCGACATGAACAAACTGGAATCCAGCACTGCCTTCTTGTCAGCTGAGGGAAAACGTTCAGGTCAGCTCAATGCTAAACTCAGACGTTTTGGACTGTACATTTGCATGAAGGTAATTTAGCAGACAAGTTTATACAGAGCGACTTGCCCGGCGTGGGTATCGAACCCACAACCCTGGTGTTGGAAGCATCATGCTCTGATCAAATAAGCCACTACGCGTCAATTCAAAAATGCAGTACGTATTGATATTAATGGCAAAAGGCAAACTCATGTACTGAAAGCGAAAGAAACGAGAGAGAGATCACATATTGTGGACACTATTACTGGCTGCCTATCAAGACAAACCAATTCCTGTCTGAGGAGAAAACAATGACCGTTCTATGCTACTGGCACTATAATTCCACAGTGGAGAACACCATCTCTCTTCCTTACACCCTGAATATTCACATTGCATACCATACATTTAGGAAAATATATGTTTCTCTCATTCTGCAATTGTCTCAGTTACTGGTGATTATAGAAAACCAAGAATTGTCATACGCTCCAAAAAGAAAATGTTCTCAGAGCATCTTTTACTTTGAAACAGAACCTTCATAACATATACAATGGAAAATATCAGTGTACTGTTAATAACTAATAATACTTCTTACTCAAAAAACATCTTGTCCGCAATAAGCCAGGACAAAAAAGGATACAAATGTTTGCACATACTACTGTAGGTCGCTTTGTATGAAAACATCTGCTAACTGACTCAAATGTCAAAGGCTGTCTAGTTAAAAGCTCCCTGGACCTGATTAAGCAGAAAGCTTCCCCCCAGGCAGCGCAGATAGAGAGTCATGGGTATGTGTGTCAGTGGCCCAGAGTGACATCAGCAGCCAGACAGGTGAACATTAAAGCTTTAAAGCAAGAGATTTAAATGGCCTGTTATTTTACCTTGAGCCAAGATGACCTCAGGCTACACCAATGTCTTGATTAATGTAGCGTCAGCTAGCGACGCATTGAAAAGACTAGGCTAAAGATCCCCAAGCATATCGGCTCTGATGACAAACTATATCTATTTCTACTCTGTACTTGGCAGCAATGATTAATATTGTATTACATACAGTATATTAACCATACATTTTATGGACCGATCGTTCTGATGGGTTCATTCATGAATTAAATGTTGCCCTGGATTCAATGTAGCCTGTCACTATGATATTATGGAGACAATGGTGCCATAAATAGCAGTATAATGTAGCCCTATCTCTCCTGTATATGATTAGACTGTAACACTGCCTCTGGTGGTCTAACCAGAGCATGACAGCATACTAAATAAGGCATGACTGGGAAGGTCAATTCAATAAATGGCCTGCCCCAATTCTTTCTTCGACAGCTGCAGGTCTAGGTGTTAACGACTGTAGGATACCTGTCCTTAACAGCGGGTTCGCTGTAACACAGATAACCATTTCATCAAAGCCTCGCGAAGTATTATTAGTGATGGGCCGGTTCATTAAAGAGTGGGTACTGGGTAGCATGAGTTATTAATCACAAAAGTAACAACAAGTGGGCCCATAACTTTGCACTCAGCATCGTTTTGAAGCACTATCATAACACCCCAGTCGGCCAGACATCTGTATTTAGTATACGTTTAACTTACTATTGACCTAAATACATACATTTGACTATGTAGAAAAACAAAGCGATAAAGCTAAATTAATTTGCGCCAATGATTCTCTCGCTAGCTGCTACTTTAAGATTGGATGGTCCAGGCACTTAAGTTGTATTTGAATCGTTTATTAACCTTTCCGATGGAAATTGTCTGCTGTTTTCTATTTGTTTTGTGGGTTAATTCTGTTGTTAAGATTAAAAACGGTGATGTCGTGCTAGGCAAACTGGCTGGCTAAACTAGACTACATAGCAAAAAGGACCTGGCTGGCTAGCTTTCTAGCTAAGATGACTGCACACATTTTTTGGAACAACTGGCAGAAGAGTTTTCAAAAGCTTTCTGGGTGAAACTCGGATGAATTGAGAGAAATGTCAAAGTGGCCCTTGTTACATACTACATGTTACATGTGTCTAGGTCTAGGTAACCAAGCACATGCATGTACACACAATGTAAAACATAAGCATGTTTTCTCTCAGGTCAGGAAACAAGGTTTGTTTTACAGTTACCCTTTTTCTCACTTGGTCTCATGCTCTTCTTGGCTACCTCAGCTAGCGCTCCGAAGCCCAGTCCTACAGCCAGACCTGGAGGGATAGAACACACAATGTTAACAAGACGTTTCGGTCATTCACTATGATACATTCAGCTAGCGCTCCGAAGCCCAGTCCTACAGCCAGACCTGGAGGGATAGAACACACACAATGTTAACAAGACGTTTCGGTCATTCACTATGATACATTCAGCTAGCGCTCCAAAGCCCAGTCCTACAGCCAGACCTGGAGGGATAGAACACACAATGTTAACAAGACGTTTCGGTCATTCACTAGCATACATGTTACTGTACATATAGTACTGTAGTGAGTATGACAGAAATGCCTCTCTATCGTTTACTGTAAGAGATCATGGCAGCTCTATGCGCTGCAGCTCTATGCGCGGCAGCTCTATGCGCGGCAGCTCTAACAGCAGGTATTTTCATGTGGCCTCCCAAAATAAAAATAGACTTTGATATTTAAATGGTAATTATGTTCGATGTTGCAGAGTACAGCTTCATTATTACGTACGTTTCATTTTGCCTTTCTAGTAATTAACACTCTGGATAAAAGGAATCGAGACACATTTCACTTCATAAAGCCAGTAAGACCAGAAGACAATTCCAATGAAGGGCAGGCAGGCTTATCTGCAGCACACCTCCATGTTTCTCAAGTAATCCAGACGAAATTTTGCTTGCTCAGCACATTCCCTGCCTCATTGTGCCAGACACAGAAACATGCACGGGCAAATGCAGGGCGTACCTCCTACACCAGAGAAAAGTGTGTAAAAACACGTAGTTCAACTTTCCCAATTACACTAATAAGCAAAAAGAAATCACCTCAGGGGTTTGTGCTAGAAACACGACTAAGGGCTATATCGAGGAACTCAGTGTTGCCTCACGATCAATATAACACATCTATGAATGAGGGAAGCGCCGGGGAAATGTGCAGTGGATGTAACAAGTAGCTGTATCGGCATCATTTGAGCCAGTCAGCCTCGACAGACAAAACAGGCTCAGTCCTTTAATCACTCTTGGCAGTGATGAAACAGTGTTTTCGCAAGGACAAAGCCTCGTCAGATCCAGTCCGACGGCCACGCCTGTGCTCGCAAACACTGCCGCGACAATTGCACACATGTTCAGTGGGCAGGAAGTGCATCCTACTCGCAGAAGAATGCCAATACCACGAAGCAGTCGATCAATACCAATCAATGAAATCTGGGTTCATTTGTCTAAACCAGACCGGGCACGTCCGGACGGTTTTACCATGACATGTAGATATCTGGTTTTGCACATATTGATGTGTAGAAATCTTGTTTACACATATTGAACTAATCAGTGATTTTCTTAACTTGCTAAACTCCATCCAATCATACATCTGGACTTCCTCAGCAGGTTTGGACTGTGTGTCCTTTCGCACGACGTTCGCGTTGACGTTTAAGCACAATGGCCTCGGAAAAACTCGCAAGAAAGGAAGAAAAAAAGAGAGAAACCTAGAGAGGAGCCAGGTTCTAAGAGGTGGCACATCCGCTTCTATGTGTGCTGGGCGGAGACACACACTGCTCTCTTCGTTTCAAACCTGCATGCTAGTTTAGGACGTGTAGGGGAAAGCAGCAAGAGGTCCCATACCGCTCATTGCCTGCGCCTCTGACACGACCTTACAGATATATAGCGAAGGACTACACCAGCAAACAATAGGGCAGACTGTAATGACAGGCAAACGGTCAGACCTCTTTGCATTCACATGGTCTGCTAACGTCCTAGAATAACAAACAGCTTTACATGGAGGCATTCTCAAACATGTATCAGTCAGAGGAAAATGAAACTCGAGGAGGCACGTATGTATCCATGAAACCTGCATGGCAGGCTGTTCCCTAGCGCCACCCCTCCGACGTGTGGAAATGGATAGCCTGTCAGCCACTCTGGATGTGAGAGAGACCTGTTGATGTTCCATCCACACGGTAAACATGACACTATCACCCTGTAGCAGAGGGGCCACAATGATTGGCTATCGAGAAACACGACAAACCTGGCAACTCTGATTCCACCTCCAACCTTGGCAACCCCGATTTCCAGCTGAAGGACAACCAAACCCTCTCACCACTTATCTCCCATGATGCCACATGACGTTGCAGTGCCCTGCCAGACATAGCGTTCACTGGCTGCCCCGGTATCGACCGCAAACAGTGTCGGGGCCATATGTGGAACCAGAACAAACGACTGCTCCCGTGTGGCTTGTTGGGCCGGCTCACTGTGTGGCTCCAATTGCCAGAGACAATGCAGCATGCTGGCAGACTCTGGGGATGGAGCTCACCTCACCATCACCATGACAACCAGAGTGTGCCCAGCCACTACAGCTGTGCTGTTATATCCATTACAAAGGTCTAGGGCATGGCAGTGTGGTGGGACCACATCTCTACACCAGAACAACACATTTAGGCTTTTATGACAGTGCAGGGGGCAGAGTACTGGGTAGATAAGAGAACAGAGGTGTGTTCAAGGGAGAGGTCGTTACCGTCAAGCTGTAAAGCATGTGGGAGTGACGGGGAAATCCTGACATAATCTGGTTGAAATATATCATTTCTAAATATTGACAGTGTTTACAGAATTGTGGTCACTAAAGGTTTTGGCAGAAAAGTTGTTTTGGCTTCTGTTGATCTGTTGCACAACATGCCATACAATAATACTGCCAAGTGAATTAATTTCTTAACACTCATAGCTCTGCAGTGAACAGCAACAGGAAATACATTTGACATTGGTAGCAACTGTAGCACGTTGTGAGTCCGTAACACAAAGACAGAATACTAATTTAAGGATGTATATAGCCTTACCTCCGAAATTGGCCAGTCTCCCTAACCGTGTCACCGGGACCTTCCTCTCTCGGGCCCTTTCACTGAGCTACAACAGAGAGAACAACACCATGGTAGACAACAGACACCCAGTACATCTCTCAGTAACAGCCAACACAGAGATGATATGTTCAGTAATACCATTTGTTTGTGTGGTTTCTCGTTCCTCTTCGCCTCTCTGGCCTTCTCGATGTC